AAATAACAACAACAACAAACAAAAAAAGAAAAGAAAAAAAATGAAAAAAACAACACGGAAGTTTTATGAAGGCCCCTACTTAAGTTTCAGTGGCACACTTCCAGTACATTATTATTTCATAACTAAGTTGGCATGGTCGCGCATTTAAAAGAACCCAGTCTTAGTATAATTAATTAAGTAGATTCTACAAGACGCAATAGGAAAAAGATCTAGATCTAGATCTAGAGCTGTGTACAATATATGGAAAACAGCAAAGTAATGTAAACAACGATGTTGTTGGTCTAAAAATTAACCCTAGATCTATCCCGAGAACAGATAGGCCACGATCGAGAGGCCGCAGCAGCCAGCCATGTTCTATCACCACCACAGGCTAGCTAGCTAGATCTAGCAGCAGCTCCGCGGACCACCCACGCGCTGGAAACAACTCGCTCCTCTGTTCCATTAATCGGCATGGAGGAAACATCACACGACACGGCAGCTTTCTTTTTGGCCCCCTTGTCTAGATTAAAGCTATGCACAAAGGGGGCGTTAAACGAACATTTACGATTCATTACGTTTTTTCTTCTACTTCTCTTTTGTTCGTTTGCCTCGTCATAAAAGCATGTGGGGGCCTCGGCGGCTGTTTCTTCTGAAAGGTGTAAAAGTTAACACGGTCTGAGAGCCACCCCCACCCTCCCCTCAAGTTTCGTCATACCAAACAAAAGGAAAAAAAACCCTCCACTTTCTTCTCCTTACTTAATTTGCATTTTAACAGCATAACTATCTAACAGCCCCAGTCGTAACCCCCCTCCCCCTTTTTGGAGAGAGGGGGGGGGGTTGAGTGAGAGAGAGAGAGAGAGGGGGGGTTGAGTGAGAGAGAGTGAGAGAGGGGGGGGGAGAGATGAGAGAGATTGGAGGGGGGAGGGGCAGGAGATGAACAATCTAAACGTTTTTACATTCACTTCAATATATCAAAAGTACAGTTAACTTGGAACTGTAGGGACCAACCAATCCCGGAGTCCTCGTCTTCTCAAAGAGAGTGTAAATAAAACTAAGTTTAAGTAAAGTAAGAAGTGTATTGAGTTCAGAATAGCCACTTGAAATGACTCTTAAAGAAATAACAGTTGATCATACCGCGTCTTCTCCAACATGTTTTGTTATTTACTTCACGGGTGTCACTCACAGTTCAAGTCATGTCTGAGTGCGCGAGTTAAGAAAAACCCGGGTTTGTTTTGTTTTGTTTTTTACATTACAAAGACGTCTGTCTTGTATTCTGACCACCATTATGTGTTTGTTTAGGTAAACGTACGGCCCTTCTGGAGTGTCAACAAAGTACATAAACAAGGAGTTAGCTTTTGAGCGCGTTAATTGGGCCCTATACCGAAATAGAAGGAAGACCTGGGCTAAAAAACTGAAAACAAAACAGATATCTAGGCTGGAACTAGACTTAGATCTTCTAATCTCTGAAATCACAGCGGTATGAAACCCAAATTAAATACACTTTTAAATAAACACAATGAAAGGAGTTATTTTTGTTTTGTTTTGTGGGTTTTTTCTGCTGCAACCTGGCGAGAAGGCCACGGG